TCTTAACTATCTCTTTATCTCTCCCTGTCTCTCATTGTATGCGTGTGTAGTTGTTTATGTCTTGATGAGCGCATATATGAGAGTTTGCGCACTGATGTTAAGCCCATTGTTTTATAAATTATATATATAAATAATATACAAAATATGAAACGCAAACAAAAAAATTACCCCCCCCCCTGGGAAGTGCTACTGACTAAGATGTCTTTAGGCCGTTCCAAAATGGGGAAAATTAACCTGTTCTTATGCACAGTAGAATTGTGATTGTAAATGGGCTGATTCACCGATGTCATGCTCGTAACTTTGCCTGAACTGCAACAGGGAACTGCTGCTTTTTCTTTCATATTCCTAGCTATCGTCATTTCTCCTCTACTTCTATTGTATGTTTGTCACACTCTTGTGACTCGCTATTTCCGGGGTGTTTTGATAGTCGAAGCAGACTTTGTGCTGTTAAAGCTAGAGAGGTGAGCAGAGTAAGTATGATTCCCTGTAAGGACTTCTCTTTTGACATCCATCCCTTGGCGCTCATATGACCTTATGCAGTTGCGAGAGTCTAAAAAACTCTACTAAAATAAAAAATAAAAAAATAAAAAAATCTAGACCACCCACGAGAATACGGAAATTCAGGATTTAAGTAACAAAACTACCACGAGCAACTGACCTTTGACCTGTCCTTGACCTTCCCTCCGCAGGAGAGTCCTCTGGCCCGTGCTGAAGGCTGGTCAGCCACTACGCGCACAGTGGACAACAGCTGGTCTGCTCTTGTCTTTTCTCCAGGTCCCCCCATGAGAGAGACAAGGTCCCTGAAGCAAGTGGCAGCAGATTCGCTGGCGTACAGCTCTTTTCCTAGGGGGGGGGGGGGGGAGACAACAGAGGATGATAACATCTATTAACCCTTACACAACCAGGCCCGCTGCATAATCATAGGATAGAGCCGAAAACAGTCTCGGGCCAAACAGTCAAGGGGTTAATCAAACTTCCTTTTTATGTGGCCTTTCCCTTCCCCTTTTTTTGCTCAAGGCCATCTCTCTACAGTTAGACCCGTCTATGAGACGACGGCCGGGAAGACTGGGATCACGTTTACGTACACTAAGGACATTTTTAACCTCTTTGAGGGTAACTAAGGATTAGGGCAGTGCTACTGACTGAAGTTGTCTTTAGGCCATTCCCAAAGGAGGACTGTTAACATGACTGTTCTTATGCACAGTAGAATTGTAAATGGGCTAAATAACTATCAATGTCATGTTCATACTGCATCGGAACAACATAGGGGGAACTGCTGCTTTTTCTTTCCTCATCCTCACTTTTGTCATTTTTACCTCTATTTCTTTTGTAGGTTTGTCACTCTCTTGTGAACAGCTATTTCCAGGTGCCTTGATAGTCGAAGCAGCCTTTGTGCTGTTGAGGCTAGGGCTAGAGAGGTGAGCAGAGTAAGCCTGATTCCCCGTTTGGACTTGTCAGTTGAAATCCACCCCTTGGCGCTCAAACGACCTTATGCAGTTGCGAATGCTGTAACACCTTACTAAAACAAACTAAGGATTAACGAACAGGATCGTTTTCATTACATGAATTACCCACTGTCAATTCACCAATAATTGCTCCTTTCTTTTCCAGTGGCATTTTTTGTCACCTCATCTTCTTTATCATTTTTTTTTGCTAGCTGCATTCTTAGTCTAATGGACATCATTTGACATGTTCGGGTAATAATAATAATAATAATAATAATAATAATAATAATAGTAATAATAACAATAACTGCATCTATAGTGCATATCTATGCTCTTCAGTATGTTCTATATGTGTGCTTTACAACTATTCATTATCAAATAATTACAACAGTCGTGTGAGGGGGTGGGGGGGGGCACATATTATACATCTGCAGTAGACCTAGATCTAGCTCCCAATGCCTGCTTCCCATTCAATCATTTAGATCTATTCTCGTTACAAGTTTCGCCACCCCACGGAGTGACAATGTGACGGTGTGGTGCAGACCAAGGTCAATCGTAGTCAATGATTGAAACATTTGCGTCATCACCAAAGTGGTCCAGCTTCCCCCACCTCCCTCCCCTGCTGTGCACACAGTATGGCACGTCATAAAATATGGACACAACCAGAGAGTATACTCTCTGACACCACCCACGTAGGCCTGCTGTGGGTCACGCAGGTGCAATCGCTGTTTTAGTTGCTTTACATTTTCTGCTTCCTTGACTGTTTGTTTTAGGGTTTTTTCGATGATTGGACCACTGTTACAGCTGAGCACACCTCTTCAAATACCTGCTATAAAAGAACCTTTATATTTTACTTGCCCCCCCCCCCTTTTTTCAGCCCTCTTGTTGTACAGCAAGCTGACGAGGGGAAGATGCACATGTCAGACGTGGGCCAGATGTGTTGCTCTTTGGGTTGCCATATTGTGCCCTTGAAGAGTCCCTTTGAATCCATAGACCCAACTTCTTCTTGGCTTTCCTTTTGCCCTGAAGCCATCAAATTGCACGTTGCAGGTCTTTGAGGCTAGCTGTTGTGTCCCCTTTCTCATACATGTCCAGATTGCCATATTTGTTGTCTCTCGATGTAAGCTTATGCCACGTTTGATTTGACTTCCCTTTGTTGTCTGGTGTCTTCGTTTCTTTGTGTGTCTCTTCTCGTGAATTTAACATTTTTCTAAGACATTTCATTTAGCATGCTGTTATTTTACTTTGCAGCGTTTTGTTGAGGGTCAAGGTTTGGCGCCGGAAGCGGAGAGTTGGTATGAAGATTGATCTGATGAATTGTTTTATTATTTCCATTGGGATGTTTTGATGAGAGAAGATGGGTGCCAAATCTAGTTGGTTCGAGCCCCATTTGTCTTTTGCACACGTGTTTCATTTCTTTGTCCATTTTCGTGTCTAATGAATTATATATATATATATATATATATATATATATATATATATATATATATATATATATATATATATATATTTCCACATACGCTTCCAAGGTACATGTATTCAAATTCTTGCACTTGTTGCGTTCTGTGCTGTAGACTTGGATATTTAACGGGGTTTGGTATCTGGATATCAGTCTTTGTTCAGTCTTAATTGTGCCCATTCTCATTACATTTTTCTCTCCTGCTTTGTCCAATTTTGTGATAGGTTCTTGGGGGCTTTTCTGGTCCTGATGTACGAGTACCTGGTCTACACGTTGTGCTTGTTGTTTTAGGAAGGTTTTACGGCGCTCGCAAACTACATAAGGTCATTTGAGCGCCTAGGGGTGAATGTCAACAGAGAAGTCCAAACGGGGAACCAGGCTTACTCCCCTCACCTCTCTAGCCTCAACAGAACAAAGTCTGCTTTGACTATCAAGGCACCCCGGAAATAGCAGTTCACAAGAGAATGGCAAACATACAAAAGAAGTAGAGGGAAAACGGCGATAGTAAGTACGAGGACAGAAACAGCAGCAGTTCCCCTTATTTTGTTCTGGCACAGTATGAGCATGACATTTTAATATCCCCCCTTTGGGAATGGCCTAAAGACACTACAGTCAGTGGTACTGCCCTGGGGGGGGGGGAAGGGGGGTGCAACACGTTGTTTGAGATCAGACTCCGGGATATATTGTAAGTCTGTTATAGCAGCTATCCTGTTATTGGTGAGACTGTTATAAACGGAGACTACTGTACTGGGCATGAACAAATCTATTTCGAAAGTGCAGCTCTTTGACCCAGAGTTTAGACTGACGATTGCAACGACAGTAAATGTTATACGCACCCATTGAAACAATTTAGATTCAAGGCTGGCCGTTTCGACCCTGCCTGTCAGAGCCAACAGAGGAAAACACTAGATTACAGCAGAACGACAGAGATACACAATACAAAATATAGACTTCTCACTATGGGAATGGACGGGGCGGTTAGAGTAAAGAAGGAAGGAAGGGAAACTAAAGGGAAGACGATGATGCATATGTTCGAAAGAAGGAAGGAAGAATAAAGCAGATACAACGTCGTGATCATCAGAGTACAGCGCCAGTAAACCTGAGCTAGCCCGTCACTAAAAAAGGTCGATCACCGACTGTTCTTTGAAGGGTGTGTTTGTCCACACCCTCTTCCTTCTCACTCTTTCCCGCGCTCACTTACTATTCCATTGGGAAAAAGGGGGATGCGCAGTACTCTCGGTCTATAACGAGCAACAGGAATAAATCGTTTTTCAAGCCGATACCTGTCCTGTCAATCAGCACCCCCCCACCCCCACCCCCTCCTCCCACGAAAAAAATATACACAAACTACTTTTTTTCATTACAGCTGAACAATTTTGTGGAAACATACTCGAGTTTCTCCTTTTATTAAAAACAACCAATAGAAATTAACACACGAAAAAAAAACCCATCAGCCCGAGTAATTATTATATTTCATGCTTTCAATACGTTACTTCTATTGTTATGCTTTAAGGTTTTATTACATTTTACGCAGATTTTAAGTACAAAGTGATTGATTTAATGAAGTGAACCAAGAAAGAAAGTTTCATACTCTTTTTAAAGTCGTTGTTTTCTTCGTTTTATCTTTAGAAAAGAACAAAAACAAAACCTGACAGACAGTATACCCATGAATAGACACGAGTGGTTGGGGGCAGCCACAGATAGATTATACACTTCTTCTCTATCCTTCGTCCAGATCTGCATGTTTCATTCACATTATTTATTGCAGGATCCGGGTAATAAGTTAAGGGATACGGAGAGCTTAATGGTAGATGTTCCCTACCTTTACCCTAACCCTAACCCTATTCCTAACCCATAAAATTTATTTTGTAACCCAATACAGGAAACGTGAAAAACGTGAATTAAACGTGGATACCTGGTAGATAGCCGCTTACAGAACATTTAAAGAACTAAATCACACCGTTTTATAACATTAGTTTATTTTAAAAACTTCATCCACATGCATTTGCTATTGTTCTTTCTGGAAGGTTAAAGACTCCTTTTCATTTTGAAAATATTATAGTGACTAAAGAATACATCATTAAAAAGGGTTGGCGTCTACACTTTACTGACTAAACATTGAGACCTTAGAGGCAACTGTGTCAATAGCAAACTACGCTGCCACTCACGCTAAGCTTCAGTTACAGTGGGGTGTGTGTGGGGGGGGGGGGGTGGGGAGTGGGGGGGAGCTTCATAATATTATATTAAGTCTTCATATTGAAAATTGAGGAAAAAACCCAGTCCCATAGTCCTTATTGAAATGTGTACTAAATGTACCGTATGCTCGCATTTATACTGATCGTCGCTACATCGGAAAAAGTCGTCAGTAGCCCAGCATTTTTTGGGTTTGCTACTATCTATGTATCTATGTATCTATGTATCTATGTATCTATCTATCTATCTTCTATCTATCTGTCTATCTATCTGTCTATCTATCTATCTATCTTATTCAGTACCCTCAAGAATGGGTGGCAATATAGTATCATAATATCATGCAGATCTGTTGGGTAACAGTGGGAACGGAGGTTCAATTAAGGCTCTGTTTGGAAGAACATTGTATCTTTGAGAGAGGAGCTTTGGGGTAGTTTCCTCTGATCGACCTTTTTGCAAATAGGAAAATGACAATTGACAAAGAGGGATTTATTGTGAATTTTTGTTTGAGTGGCTACCAGGCTGCCACACTGTATGTCTCTTGCTCGACAGAGATAGTAAATCTGTTTAAATAAACCCACCAACATTGTTACTGTGAAGTCGGGGGCCTTTTTATCATGTTTTAAATATAGTTGGGTTTTTTCTTAAAGTCCCATCGACACCATTTATATCTTTAAGGAGGCGGGCTTCCAACCCTGCCTGTCAGGGCTAACCAGGGATGAGTGTGATACAACATCCTAGCAGAAAGACCGACACAGCGATGTGCCAAAGCACAAGAATCTACATCACAAACGCCGGTCCTGTGTCCTTTGTGGGGAGAGATTCAAAACCATATACTAATTGCTTTTTAATTTATTGACGGTTTTGACTATTCTTCTTGCCAACGACAGTTTTTCACGGAAATTTTATTGTCTTCACGTTTTCGGCACAACTTCTCATGACCTCCTCCGTCGCCTCAGATCTGACACAGAGTGACGAAAGTGAAATCCACCCCCCCCCCAACTCCCCTCACTGCCCCCCCCCCCCCCCCACAAACACACTACTGAAGATATGCGTCACTTCCGGATGGAGGTCCCCCGAGAAGGTTCCTGGTTTTCTTGTCCCGCCAGATTTAGCTCCTCAATCACAGCCTCCTCGCCCACTCGGCTCGGTTCCTGCTCCTGGCTCAGCTTCGCTGTGACGCGCCTCGTCTTTCACTTTCCCTTCCGTCAGCCCTTTGTTTGGTCCTCTATCTGTGTGTCCCCCTGGCTTCCAAGACAACACCCACTCACTCCAAACGCGGCCTTCTTGCACTTTCTACTTTCTTGTCTCTTCACTTTCTCCCCAGCGTGTGCCCCACATTCCGAGGGTCTCGGTGGCTGGAGTTTTATTTCGCTTCTCGTGCAGACTGACAGTACGACGTCATTACTAGCCCGTCAGCCCCCCTTCAGTGATGCCCCGAGAACGCCACATGCCAGTTATAATTTTGACGCCCCAATGACGTCACTGCGAACATGTCAACACCCACCCGCCACCCACCCCACTCCCAGTATGCGCCTTCTTATCTCTTATTTAAAATTGAGAGCGCCATGCCCGTCATTCCAACAAACATAACCTTTGCAGGCGGCCTGGTCGCTTTCGGCCGGGCGCTGGTATTTATTTTGGCAGCTAATGTTCTGGTCATCTCGACCTAACGCTGCGTGGGATTCCGGGAAGGACAAGGCTTCGATGTTTTGACAGTTATCACGACAGCTGCTTTGGATTTTTGTGCTGTTGTGATCACGCTTTTCGGCACAAGGAAAGAGCACAAGTAGCGCCTAAACGATAGACTGACATATGATGTACAATTATATAGCTTCGGAATCTCCTACAATAATATTCTGAAACTGTTTTTTTTTCCTCTTTTCTTTTTCTTTCTTTTTTTTTTCCTCTTTTCTTTTTCTTTCTTTTTTTTTTTGGTGTACATTTAAAGCCTAAAAAATAGGATTCTATATTCAGAATTTGTTCATCATCACAAAAAGTGAACGGCACCATGGCTCCCTTATGACAGCATCTATATCTTGAGATTGGGTGTAAAAAATCACAGTGACACTACAACAGCTATTTTGTCTGGGAATGAGCAAGAATGATAAACGGAAACAGAAAAGGGAGGCAATCTTCCATATTTGCACGTTTTATTCAATTTAGCTGAATTTGAGTGACATGGTAAGGGCTAGGGTTAGGATTCAGACAAGGGTAAGGAAGGGGTAGATTTAGGATTCGGATAAGGGCTAGGGTAGGATGCCCCTACCCCAACCCTATCCCTAATCCTTACCTCATTACCCAGATCCGGTAAAGGTGAATTAAAATTGCTGTTCTGGAAGATTGCCGGAAAACGTACTTCTGCTTACGTTACTCGGTTCACAAAGTTCGTAAGGGCATCCTGTGGGTGCGTCAATACCTCAGTTGGTATCATGTTGAACTAGAGTTCAAATGGCTTTGATTCGAATCCGTGAAGGGGCATGTTTGAACAACTCGAGATTGGGGGCTCTCGTGGCCGTGAGGTTAAGGTGTTCGCCTCTCATTCAAAAGTCCCGGGCTAGAATCCGTGTAACGACGGAAAAATTATCTTCCCTAAAATTGTCTCCTTGCAAAATTCTGTCGCCTGCTTTCGTCTTCACTGTCTTCCCCCACCCACTCACCTCCTTTTCCCCCTCCACTGGGCTCCTGACGCTTTCTGCAACCTTTCTACTGCTACTCCCTGGCTCCTTCTTACTGCTGTCTTTCAGCCACACCCCTGATCTTCTTGTAGGAAAGATCTACACCTAGCCTTCTTGGACAAAGGCAAAAGCTTTCGTAGGTCCCGTGTGCAAGTTGCGCACGTTAAAGATCCCTTGGAGGTCCAAAATCGTTAAAATTAAGCTTCGGCCGCCATCCGGTTGTTTTTTTTATTGGGTAGATGTTTTACGGCACTATCGACACAATTTTGCCGCCATCCGGGCAAAATTCAAAGTTTCATACCAAATGAAAATGTTTGGTGTGTCCCGCGCGCTCATAATACGACCTTATGCAGTTGCGAGTGCCGTAAAACACTTACGAACCCCCAC